CACTCAGTGGGGAGTCAGCTTGAGATTCTCTCTATCCCTCACCCTCTGCCCCTCCCCCTGCTCATGTGGGCACACTGTCTCTTTCAAATAAATAAATAAATCTTTTAAAAAAATTTAATGTAAATTTACAATTAAATAAAGTATACTAAAAAGGGTCCCTCAAAACTTCCCAAGTATTTTACTACATTTTATTATGACACATGCTCTTGAGGTTATTTACGTTCATTGTATCTCTATGAGGGAAATATACAAGATATATAGATATATGTGTTACTGCACATCTCTTCCCAGCTCTGCCTTCCATGATGTCACATTGCTAGTTTAAAATGGGCCATGGTGGCCAATTTGATTTGCACCCCAGAAACTGACAAATGCCAAATCAGGGCTTGAGTTTTGTTTATTTTCTAAATTTAGGAAAGTAATGACAAAAACTTTAATGATGCAACTAAACTTAAATGTACATCACATCTGTAGCAATTACATTGTAAATAGCTAGAAAAACGAAGAAATATTCTTCCAATATTTGAAAACTATTATGCAATTCAGTCAAGTTGCTCACAGAAGTTCAGACATACCTCTTCATTCTTTCACTTTTGTCTTACTCTTTAATGTAAAGAAAAATATTAACCAAGATTCGTGTTGGAATTACATTCATTGTCAGGTGCAAATTTAGATTGTCTCAGGTACAAGAACTCAGCAAAAATCCATTTTTTCCCCATGATTTCTTTATATCCACCCCTTTTTTTCTGTTCTTTTTCTCTAATTCTAATTAATGAGATATAGACCTCATTACTTGTGTATTTTCCACCTTTATGTTATTCTACTTTCTTTTTTTTTTTTTTAAGATTTTTAGTTATTTGTTTGACAGAGAGAGACACAGTGAGAGACGGAACAAAAGCAGGGGCAGAGAGAGAGAGGGAGAAGCAGGCTTCCCGCTGAGCAGGCAGCCCAATGCAGGGCTCAGTGAGGGGCTCGATGAGGGGCTCGATGTGGGGCTTGATCCCAGGACCCTGGGATCATGACCTGAGCCAAAGGCAGATGCTTAACGACTGAGGCACCCAGGCACCCCTGTTATTCTACTTTCTGAGAGATTTCTTCAACTTTATCTTCCAAGTCTTCTATCAAATCTTTTAAATTTGGCGATCATTTTAAATTTCCAAGATTTCTTTCTCATTCTTGAATTCTACTATTTTTACAGCACCCTTTTCTGTTTAAAAAGTACAATTCGTATTTCTCAGTTATTTTTGAAAATACACAAAGGCTTTTTGTTTGTTTGTTATCCACTATCCTCGGAATCTCTTGTCTCTTCTTGGATCAGTTTCTCCTTCTTTTTCTTGTTGCAGCCTTTTCTCCCCAGTCTTGTGATCCTTGGTTGCTCATTTATATTTAAAAATGAAGCAATAGAAAAGCTCATTGATTGGGAGGTTGGCTTTGTGGATGGGCTCGTTGAATGGCAGGCTTTGTTTTCAGGTGAGACCAACCAATTTGCTTGGGGACTCCAAAATGCCAAAATGCAGAGGTCCTGCACTGTTATCTAGTTGTCTCCAGGCAGGTGATCAATTTCCTTAGATAAGTGCCTTCCTGTTTATCTTAAGCTTGGGGGCAGCCTGGTATTCTATGACTGGGACAGGAAAGGGACTGTTCCATAGGCAGGCTCCTGTGTTTTGCCACACTTGACTTCTGCCTTCTGTTGTACCTGCCATTTTTGAGTCTTTGTGTTTTTTGAAACTGAGTTTCTATAAGCAAATCAGCTTCCCTCTTGGTGGCAAGCCACCTCTTAGGTAATCCAAGAGAGTTTCCTACACCCTGCTTTATCAGTTAACACTCCATTTTCTGCTTTCTGTCTCCAGAATTGTGTGGAAATTCTTGGTAGTGGATGGCCTCCCCCATCAGTTCACCATCTTGAAACAGGAGGCTCAACTCATTTCTGACCCCATTTGAGACTTATGCTTCATAAACTGGAGTCTTTCCTTTGTGGGGGAGTGGGGGTAAAAAGAATTATGGGTTTGGGGGTGTTATTGTCACTGTTTTTTAAGACCTGAGCTAATATTTCTGTAATTACCAGTTCATGCAAGGCCTCTCTCATTTTTTTAAATGTATTTATCCCCTTTCCTCATGCCTCTCTCCCGTTCCACTAGGCAACCCCTTTACTGTGTGCAATAAATATCCTTCTACTTGTAGGTACATCAGTAAAATATGTATCATTATTCTTTGTGAACTTATTTTTAATCCATGCAATGGACATTGTACTAAAGATCTCATTCTCCTTTTTACTTTTTCCAGTGAGCTCAAACCTCTTAATTTTTTAGAAATTCCCTCATGTCTATTGTTTTTTATCTGCTTGATCTGTCAGTTAAAAATCTCCAACTCTAAGTTTTGATTTATCAAAAGTTGTTGTTTATTATATATTTGAGACTGTTTAAGTGCTTATATGTAAATGATGGCTATATCATCTTGTATTTATTACTAAGCATACTAACTTTTATGCTGTTTTTTACTTGGATTTTATTTTATCGGATGTTAAGATTGCTACCTCAGCTTTCTTTTAATTTCTTATTTTTGCCTGGTATATTTATTTCTGTTCTTCTATTTCTAATTTTTCTGTGTCTTCCTATTTTAATTGTGTATTTTACATATAACATCTTTCCTTTATTCCAACATGGACATCTGTTTTTTAATCAGTAACTGTGATGGTTAATTTTATGTGTCAACTTGACGAGGCCACAAGGTGCCCAGATATTTAGTCAAACATTATTCTGGGTGTGTCTGTGAGGGCACTTTTAGATGAGATTAATATTTGACTCTGTAGACTGAATTAAAGATTGTGCTCCCCAATGTGAGTGGGCCTCAACAAGATGAAGGCCTAAATAAAATAAAAAGACTGATCCTCCAGCAAGTGGGAGGGAATTTCTTCCTGTGTGACTGTCTTTTTTTTTTTTTTTTAAGATTTTATTTATTTTTTTGACAGAGAGAGAGACATAGCGAGAGCAGGAACACAAGCAGGGGGAGTGGGAGAGGGAGAAGCAGGCTTCCCGCAGAGCAGAGAGCCCGATGTAGGACTCGATCCCAGGACCCTGGGATCATGACCTGAGCCGAAGGCAGATGCTTAACAACTGAGCCACCAAGGCGCCCCTGTGTGACTGTCTTGAGCTGGGATACTGGTCTTTTCCTGCCATTGGGCTTGAACTGAAACTCTTCCTGGGTCTCAAGCCTACCAGCATTCGGACTAAAAATACATCACTGGCATTCCTGGGTCTCCAGCTTGCTGACTGCTGATCTTGGTATTTGTCAGCCTCCATAATCACATGGGCTAATTGTATATATTTATATGTAATTATGTATATAATTTTTTTTTTAATATTTTTTCACCTATTTCACCCATCCCCCCACCCATCTCCCCTCTGGTACCTACCAGTTTATTCTCTATATTTAAGAGTCTCTTTTGTTGTTTGTTTCTTCTTTTTGTTCATTTGTTTTGTTTCTTAAATTCCACCTATGAGTGAAATCATATATTTGTCTTTGTCTGACTGAGTTATTTCACTTAGCATCCCTAGGATCCCTTAGATCCAACCATGTTGTTGCAAATGGCAAGATCTTATTATTCTTATGGCTGAGTAATATTCCATTGTATATATATATATAGATGTCCACACCTTCTTTATCCATTCATCTATGGAGGGACACTTGGGCTGCTTCCATAATTTAGCTATTGTAAATAATGCTGCAATAAACATAGGGGGGCATATATCCTTTTGAATTAGTATTTTTGTATTCTTTGAGTAAATACCCAGTAGTGGAATTACTGGATCATATGGTAATTCTACTTTTAATTTTTTGGGGAACTTCTACACTGTTTTTCGCAGTGGCTGCACCAGTTTGCATTCCCACCAACAGTGCACAAGGATTCCTTTTTCTCTATATCCTCACCAACACTTGTTTCTTGTGTTTTTGATTTTAGCTATCCTGACAGGTGTGAAGTGATAACTCATTGTGGTTTTGATTTGCGGTTCCCTGATCATGAGTGATATTGAGCATTTTTTCATGTGTCTGTTGGCCATCTGGATGTCTTCTTTGGAAAAATGTCTATGCATGTCTTTTGCCCATTTTTTTAAATTGCATTTTTAATACAATAAAACCATTATGTTTTATTAATTAAAATATATTACATTTATACATAGATTAAGTTATACATTTCAAATCTACTATGATCCTTGTTCAAAATACAGACTATAGTCATTCAGCCAGCATTCTTATGCTGATATAATGATCTGGGAGTGGTGATTTCCATAATTTTCAGGCCTGAGGTAATTACTAAGAAATGTGGATATACAATTATGTGCCCTATTAAGGAGGAGTTAGCTATCCTCTGATATCTGTGAAGATGTCTTCATTTCAACCACATCAACTATTATTTTCTACTTCCAATTATTGCTATTATGAAGATAATGTCAGTTTTTTACTGGCCTACCACCTCTTTTTCTTAAAGACCAATTGGTAAAACATTTTATTTATCTAATTCAGAACATTCCTTAGTCTTACTAACACAGAATAATGATGCCCCAACACCTATTTCATGGTGACTTACATCAATGCATCAATGTTATGAGTCAACCACAAACATCATCTCCATTTAGATTTTCTTCATATGTTGTATATTATATTTTGTTTTCAATTAATTTAATTAAAACTATGTTTTAAATGTATACTTTAGAAAATACCAGAGAGTGCATAAAGGAAAGTAACTTGAAAATATAAAAATATAGGAAAGTAGTTAAATGAAAATCAAATGTAAATAAATATCACAGAATTCACAGTAGAAAGCAGTAAGTCAGTAACTCTTTTCAGGCATTTTTTTAAATCAGAGTATTTGTTATAGGGACTAATCCAAAGTTAAACCCTTAGATAAAGTATTTGCTAATATGCTATAAAAGATTAAGGGAATGGATTTTTGAACAGGTATAATTAATTTCAGCATAGGCTTTTTTTTTTTTTTTTTAACATCACAAATATGATTTTTTATTTGTCACCATTAAATGTCTGACTTTTAAACAGATTCTTGGACTGGTGGCTCATATCCATCAGCTCGTTCAACTTTAGCACCGGTCTCATCCCCAGTAGCTTTTCCAGAACTACTACCTTCACCATGAAGCTCCATGAGCTTTCCCAGTTCAAACTTGGGCTTCTTCAGCATTTTTACTTTTCTAACGAACACATCATGGAGTGGATAAATAGACTGACAGGCCTTTTCTATATCTTTTCCGATGCTGTCTGGAATCAATTTATTGACCACTTCTTTCAAGTCATTTGTTTGCACCTCTCGGGTCATGATTTCCATCATCTTTTTCCGAATTTGACGGACCTGTTGGTGCTGAGCATAAGAGGTCTTCCGAATCTGATTATTGCGTTTTTTAGTAAAACCAACACAAAATAGACGAAGCAAATAACCATCGGTAGTCTTGACATCAACATGAGCTTCAATCATGGTCTGCCATTTTTTGACCATGGAGCACATTTTGTCACGGGTAAGATCCATGCCATGGAAATTAGTCAGGCAGTTTTTGCCCTGAACATCCTCAGTAATTAGCTTGAATTTTCTAAACGCAACTTCATCATTCTGCAAATCAGCAAGGCTCACTTCAAAAACACGACCCTTGAGGCCATCAGATGCGATTTTGGTTCCTTGAGTTCTTGTGACTAATGTTTTTCCAATATTTCTTATATTGAACATAGCTGGTGCTTTCACATCATACCAATCTTTCTTAGAAAATGGATCAACCACTTTCTTCTTGGCTCCCTTTTTGCCGCCTTTCGTAAGGCGCTTGTTTTTGCCGACCGCCATGGCGCTGCTCAGAGAGCCAAAAGGCCAGCATAGGCTTTTTTATATTGACCCTATTTGAGATTTGTGACCAGCACATATTAATGTATTCTACTCTAAATTCCTCCATGAAATACCTTTATTCCTAGTGGGCGTGTGAAATCATGTGGTTGATTATTGCTGCATCAAAGATATGAGATGTCCTTTTTCATTAGGTGAGATTCATACATATCTAGTTTTTCGTGGAAGATTAAGGACCATATGATATACAATATATGAAGAAGAAAAAAATATATATCTCATTGGTTCTGTTTCTCTGGAGAGCCCTAATATCATAGCTTTACCATTTATTTTAATCAATATTTTATTGGGATTTACTTCTTATTTGACATTTCTACTTTCATTTTTATTTTTTCTCCTTTCCTGCTTTCCTTTTCTTTTCATGAAGAAAGTATATACTACAGAATGCCTCTCTAGTCAATGTTCTATCAATAAAATGCTTCTTAATTTTTCATATCCGAATGTCTGAGTACATAAGTATATCACAATATAAGATTTTTGGGGGTTGATGTTTATATAGCAGAAACATTTGTTTACATTCCCCCAGCTCAGTACAATATTTTTAACAATATGATGTGAAGGAAGTCTCAAGTTATAGTTACATTCCCAATAAAAGTAGTAAAATGTCCAAATCATGTGTGGACATTTTGAAAAATGCACTGTGTGCCCAGCAAGGGGACACATGTTTCAGATGTTTTAGAAACAGAAACAGAGGAAACAAAAATTTTAAAGCTGTAAAGCGTATGGCTGTGTGGTAGGACTGAGTGGGGAGGAGAGCCAAAGCCTAGATAATTCAAGCAAGAAACTCAACATTAACCGGCAGAAATCAAGCATTTGGCAACATCAGGTCATTCTGAACACAGGGAAGAAGTACAGTCTGAAAACAATGGCAGAATAAATTTTAAAAGTCTACATTCTGAACCACTGGCCCCATTCCCAAGCTCGGCTCTCATAACACTAGAGGTTGGGCTTGTTCCTATCACCAGCCCCACCACAGACTGAGTTCTAGAGGATTACCCTCCAGAGAAAGTGATCAGCCAACAAAGAAGAAATCTCAGACACTTTCTTCTGGGAGGGTTGCCAAAAAGAGGCTGGGACCCCATCCAATACCCTTTAGAAAATGCCATCAGAACAATCCCCAACCACTCAGAGCTTCCAATCAGCATCTATCAAGATGATCACATGACTTTTCTCCTTTCATCTGTTACACTAGAATTCTGTCAACCAACTTACATTTAACTGATCAATACTCACCATCTCTTGGGAAAATGCACTGACAAATGTTTATGCCGTATTGCATGCTCACAGCTAGTAGGCGAATCTCTAGTATAATTACATACTTCTGTTCCTCCAAATTGAGTTATTCAGTTGTTGTTTGTGCCCAAATTGCTTTTGCCACTTGTAATTGTTATTTTAAATATTTAATTAAATCAAATATTTCATAACTTGTGAACTATGAGTATAAAGCAAAAGAGCTGTTGATTCTATTTAGCATAGGCAGAATTGTAAAGATTTTCCCAAAGATTCCTGTCCCCTGGTTATTCAAACTCTAGGTACTGATCTAAAGGATGGAATTAAGATTATTAATCAACTGACCTTAAAATAAGGAGATTATGGGGCGCCTGGGTGGCTCAGTCGTTAAGCGTCTGCCTTCGGCTCAGGTCATGATCCCAGGGTCCTGGGATCAAGCCCCGCATAGGGCTCCCTGCTCAGCGGGAAGCCTGCTTCTCCTTCTCCCACTCCCCCTGCTTGTGTTCCCTCTCTCGCTGTCTCTCTCTCTGTCAAATAAATAAATAAAATCTTAAAAAAAAGAAAATAAGGAGCTTATCCTGGATTTTCTGGAAAGGTTCAAAGTAATCATATAAAAGCAGAAGAGGAAAGCAGGAGAGATGAGGCAGAAGGAAAGATCAGAAAGATTAGAAGTGTGAGTACTAACCCCGCTATTGCTGGCTTTGAGATTGAGAAAGGACGCCAAGAGCCAGGGAATGTGGGTAGCCTCCAGAACATGAGAATGATCCCTGGCCAACAGCCCACCAGGAAACAGGGACCTCAGTCCTACAACCTCATAGAACTAAATTCTGCCAACATCCCAAATGATTCTGGAAGCGATTCTCCCCTAAGAGCCTCTAGTACGGACTGAAGCGCTATTAGCATCTCTATTTCAGCCCTGTGGGACCCTAAGCAGAGGCCACTGAACTTCTGGCCTACAGACCTATGAGATAGTAAATGGGTATTGCTTTGAGCGGCTCCAGTTGTGGCAATTTGTTACAGCAACAATAGGAAAGTAATACACTCTTGAAAACTAAATTTATTACCTCAAAAAGCTTGGATGAGTTGCTGAAAAAGCTGCTTTTGAATTCAATGTGAACACCACAATTGTAAAAGACTGGAAGGAAGATTGGGAAGATCTTGCAGAAAAATGTGTTCCATTTGCTTCACAAATGCCCTTAAGATTTTGCTCTGCTTTAATAGGACCCAACCTGGAAATTGAGGGCAATACGTAAGAGTGTGTAGGAAAGACATATGCAAGAAAGACAACTCAGAGTTCTGTTGATCCATTCTACAAGAATGGAAATTCGCTCTACATTTAAAGACTGGTGTTTATATTTTTTAAGTTAAAATGAAATATAGAAGGTATCTATTGTCTTTTTTTTTTAAGACTCTATGCTCTAAGCGAGTTGTTTGATGAACAAACTCTGTCCTGATTGCCTCTGAAAAGAGAGCATCTCAACTGCTTTCCTAAAGTTCTACGCCCCTGTCTTTCACTATAAGCTTTCTGCAAAATGGTGCCTGTTGCCCTGGGGAGGCCTCTCCTTCCTGGGCTGAACTGTAGCACCCTCCCTCTGCAGCTGCCTATGTTGTAAATGTGAAAATAGTTTCCTTGGTCATCATTAAATTTCATAGGAATTTTCAGTTCCAAGTTGGGTAGGACCTGAAGTAGCCTCCCCATTGCACAGGAGTCCTTGGATTGCTGAGGTGACACATTCCTGGCTTCAGCATTTCAGGTTTTTACTGTCTCAGGGGCTACAAACTGAAATGCTTTCGGGGTGAGACAGGTAACCCGAATGAGAAAAGCAGGAGAAAGGGATTGATGAGAGCTAGTGTAAGCAACAGGAAGTGGTTAAGTCCAGCCACTAACAAGAATGCCTTCCAAAAAAAAAGAACAGAGTGCCCATTAGTGGCCACTGATACTAATTTCATGCCCAGCTGCATTTTAGATCTTTTTTTTAACTCTCACGTTTTCTCTTTTTTAAGATTTTATTTATTTATTTGAGAGAGAATGAAAAAGAGAACACAGAGGGAGAGGGAGAAGCAGACCCCCCACTGAGCAGGGAGCCCGATGCGGGGCTCGATCCCAGGACCCTGGGATCATGACCTGAGCCAAAGGCAGATGCTTAACCTACTGAGCCACCCAGGCGCCCCTTAACATTCACTTTTAATGGCCACTTTAGTGACCAAAAACATATGCATGATTTTATGAATAACTAAAAGGTATATTAATTACAAGTAGTTGCCTAAAGTTGTGTTTTGTAATATAGCACAATATCTACCCCCCACACTTCAACGAATAACTGATACACTATTTTGTCATTGTATTTTATTGTCATATGATGAAAAGAAGGTATGGGAGGAACAGTATTCTGTTTGCGGAGAGAAAGTTGAGAAAATATTAAGTTGAAGGAAGAAATGAAAAGAACGAGCAAAATAAGAATTCTGGGAGGCACTAGGTAAAGGCCTTTGTAATTTTTAATCACTAACTTGAAAAATACAGTTTTCTAGATTGTAGGCACATAGGGTGCTCAAAAGTAAGTTCAATTATATACCATGACTTTTTAAATACTGCTTTACACCCTGCAGAGGGTCATAAAATATTTCTGTGTGCTTCTGAGGAAATCTTGAGAGGTTCTTCTCTGATCATTGGTGAGAAATTAATTTTAAATGACTACTGAATCCCTTTGAGAAAAAGTTGTGTCTGTTCTTTCCCACAGCTTAATTGCATTAGAACATTAGCACAGAGATTTTTGGCAGAACAAAAATCTAGGGTATTTTGACTATTTAAGTGTTGAAAGTTTTAGGGAGAGGTTTCGTTTAGTCTGCCAAACTCTGGATAAAACAAAGCAAATAGGCCAGCAGTATAAATTTAGGCAACAGTTACATGTCTTTTTTCATGAAATCCATTGCAAGTAGATAACTGTACAAGAAAATTATGGGGTCGCCTGGATGGTTTAGTCGGTTAAGCATCTGCCTTCAGCTTAGGTCATGATTCTAGGGTCCTGGGAAAGAGCCCCACATAGGGCTCCCCGCTCAGTGGGGAGTCTGCTCCTGCCCCTCCCCTGGCTTGTGCTCTGCTCTCTCTCACTCACTCTCTCTCTCAAATAAGTAAATAAATAAATAAAATCTTTAAAAAAAATTACGAAGTTGTAGTAGTGAAAAGAAATGAAAAACTTTTTGAAATGCATCAGACCCAAAGGCTCAGAAAGAGCTCTGCTTCTTGGTTCAAGCAAATGATAACCAAAAGGTATAGAACTTAATTCCCTTATATTTTGAAGAGCTCTTGAAGTTGCTGAAGATTAAGGATATTGAAACAATTAGAATTTCAGAGGCTGTCTTGTGATCTTATGTGGTTTGAAGCAGGATGTGATTAGGAGGTAATTTTTCACTTAAAGGAAATAGGCAGGAATGTCTAGAAAGAAAATTTAGGATAATTGCGAATTGACAATTTGTATAATTCATGGATTAATTATTAATATTGAGGGTAAAAATACTTGATAGTGAAACCTGACTAACTAGCTGAAAATGAAATTTACCCATAGTAGGGGACTTTCGTTTTTGACATTTTATCTCTTGCGTGCACTTAAATAAGAGTTTTACATTAAGTATTGAGTTTTTGAGGAATTATTTTAGGGAGTAAGCGATGATAGGAATAAAAGGTTAAAGCAGTGTCAAAATCAAATGCTTACATGAGCCAAGCGGTGGACATAGTAATGAGGG